AAGGAGCCTGTGGAAGTGAAGATGGATTTTATGCTTGTGGCTATTCTCTCCGTGGTAAGGACCCAAAACTCCTGTTGAGTCTTTATAACAGAAAACTGGGTGATTGCTAGGTTGGGGTCTGAGTCTTCTACCAGGCAGGGTTGGGCCAGCAAAGCCATGGGGATGACAAGCAGCCCCTTCCACTTCTTCAGCTTTCTGCTGTTTGAAAGCATTTTTGGAAGATCTGGAGTATTTTCTCCCACCTACTTCCAGAAAAAAGTTCAGACGCAGGTTCAGACAAACAGCCTGCTTTATAGCAGGCTCTAAAAACAAACCTGTGGAGTGCCTGAACTGAGCAATGCATTTGCAGGACACTGGTCTGTAAATGTTAACAATAATCTTTTTTTTTTTTTCCAAACCATTGGACCGTACACTCCCACTCTTCAGCTGTAGGACCAAGATCTTTGCGCTCTCCTCCTGAGCTGAGTTTCTGCAATCTGTGCTGTCCACTGCAAGAGCGACAGGGGAGAGCTTCTGGGCTCTGCATTGGATGTACCTAAGAAAATCAGCTAAATATCTTCCCTTTTGTTTCTCCAGGTCGAAAAGCTCCAGACAGTCACTTTTTACATCGTGTTGAACCTGGTAGGTCCCTCGAGAGCGTTTCTCTCCTGTGGTGTTGAGCCTGGCACTCATTTCTCTCCTGCAACTTCTTCCCCCAGGAGTGGGAAAACACTTTTGTAACCTGGGACCCACAGGATTTCTGTAACATTTCCGAAATCGTTCTGCCCACGGATACGTATTGGTCTCCCACCATCTTCATTTTAGAGCGGTAGGTTCCCCTTTGATTTTAATCCACTGGCTTAAGAGAAATACAAGGATGCAAACTGTTGGTATTATTGTAGGAAATGGGATAAACTCGTATGGTTAAAAGTTGTTCCCATGAGCTCTCCGTAACCAAGAACCTCGATTAATGGTGACGACAGTTTATACAAAGCACTTTGTGGCTCTGTAATACTGTAACACCTCGAGGAATGTCCCAGCTGGGCTGTCGTTAAAGCTGAGGACGCAGCAGAGACCAGCAATGTCATGGAATGAGACGCGCCTTAGCAGTTTGTTGTAAGATACTGCACAGAGCACTGTGGGTCTGACAGAGGGATGGGCACCACTGCTAGCTCTTCGGAGGGGGGAAGGAGGGAGAGGCAGCTCTGCGGCACAGCAGAGCCTGCAATGAGCCAGCAATGAGCCCTGGCCCTGGGTGGGAGTGGGAAGCAGAGAGGAGAGAGGAAGGAGTTTCCTTAGGAGGTGCAGAGCTACTACAGACCTTAGCCCAGAGGCACCCAAGAGCCCTTCTTCAAGCCCCAGGTTTCCTCTCCTCACCGCTAAATCCCGTGGCTGGGTGACGGACGGCACAGAGCCTGCCCTGCAAGGACGCTTACAGCCCAGCCTTGCGTGGGACTGAGGAGCGATGCAGCATCTTGGAGCTCGGTCACTCTCCGCTTTTGTTTCCTCCAGAGTGAACGGACAAAACTCAAACTTGGATTATATGGCCATCACGCACAACGGCAGCTTCAAATCCACCCAGCCCTTCCAGGTCACCTTAACATGCAGCTTGATGATCTTCAAGTTTCCCTTCGATACCCAGACGTGCAACTTGAGCGTAGCTTCATTCCTCTACCCAGGTACAGCAGCAAGCTGAGTTTTACCACAGGTGGGCTAAATTCGCAGGAGGACGAATAGATGAGATGGACCCTGGCTAAGTCCTCGGTTCCCTTGGCAGCACCACACTCTCACACTGGGTTAGTGGTGTAACACCAGGGACAATGAGCTAAAACACTGTCATTCTGTTTTGGCACGTTTCCCAGCAACATCTCTGGAAGCATCTGGATGTTCTGTGGCAAGTTCCCCCCTGGACTGGTCTCTACAAACCAAGAGACTAGGAGCCTTCCTGCAACAAGGCTACTTGTTCACATACAATTTTGCAGGACTGATCTTTAAACATACCTGAAAGCCATGGAAACGAGAGGAAATTAAGGACAGCTTCAGGGATCCAAACTGCAGTCAGAGATCATCCCGACAGGAAGGGTTGAAAAATAAGCAGAGGTGACACAAAAGCCTCCAGCTCCCACCCACAAAGGACAACTGTCCTAATTCACCAGAAATTTCCCCTCTGATCCACATTTCCAGAGGTCCAGCCAAGTCTCTTCACCAGAGTCCTTTTTAGTTTCTCCCTGATAGGCTAAGAAACCCCAGCAGTGCAAGAACCATTGCGCTTCCCCATCTGTGCACACTCTTGGTTGGGAGGGAGAGGGAGGGGAAATAACTGACCTCTAATAAATACCTAAATTCTGCAACTTCTCTCCTCCTCTGCCTCCTGCCCAAGCAGTAACAGACCTTGTCATGAAGACAAAACGGACACCAGCTGAGATGATGAAAGACAGCCAGAGTTACTTCCTAACTGATGGAGAATGGAAGTTCACCAACCTGAGCATCATTGAATACAGAGAAGAGCTGGATGACGAAAAATTTTCTGTGGTCACCTACGTGGTACGGCAGTACTTTCATAATATATTGCACTGATTTGCCACCAAAAAAAAAAAAAAAGTACAAAACAAGATGATTTTCTACATTAGGGAACATTGCCCAACACAGTAAGTTACCTCCTGCTCACCTAAATTTTGTCCCTCTTCTTCAACAGATTTCCATGGAGAGACGACCCACTCTGTATATTTTGAACCTGATCCTCCCAACATGCGCCCTGTATCTGCTGGATATGGCTGTGTTGTTTGGACCCAGCTCTCTCGAGGAGAAAATCAGTTTCCAGATTGCCATCATCCTTGGCAGCTCCATGTTAGCTGTGATTCTCAACAACATCCTCCCAACTTCCTCCAACAAACCACCCATAATAGGTACCCATCTTTATTGAATAAAACCTGATTTTTTCACAGGTACCAACCCTAAGGAAGGTCTTTGATTGTTTATGGACGCATTCACAACACTGAAGTCATGAACAGCTAAGCTTTATCAGCTTGCTGGAGTTAAGAAATTTCCCCCCTTCCCCACCAGGCAACTGAACACAGACAGGATTACATGCAAGAAAATGATGCCAATTATCAAGGGCTTTCTTTGTTTTCGTATTGTTCTGCAGTGGTATTCTTCTTAGGCACCTTCCTGCTCATGATCATGGCTGTGTTAGATACCTTCTTCCTGTTGCACCAGCAGCACAAATCCCTGCGCTTAGACAAGGTTCTCGGAAGCTTCCAGCAAGGTAAAGCAACCCGTAACCTCTTAAACCTGTAGGTTCGGTGCATTTTACTGCAGGTTCGTTTGAGCAAGGGTGGGTTTCCTCAGGGCAACCAGTGACCCAGGCAGGATCAGTCGTGGTAGTCACCCACCAAACCCCCTATACTGACACATGCTATGTGCTCTTTGCAGACACCGAGCAAGCGATGAGAGCCATGACCAAGCAGACCACAAAACACCTCGCCAAGGGAGGCGCCCAACTGCTGAACCTTCCCAAAAAGGCCCAGGAAAACAGACAGCCAGCCAAGCCCCACTGGAAACCACAGGAGCAGGACCCATTTCTGCTAGTTCTGGAGAAGGTGCTTCTCTACAGCCACTTCTTCCTGTCCCTGTTTTTTTTTGCTACTATTTCTGTAAAATGGAGCAGCTAGAGATCAGCTCTGCGCAGTGCTAGTTCAGTTGTTCTCCATTGTATTGCTTCTAACCCCCGCAATGTAATTTTTTTCCTGCTCGATTCATAGAGCTGCAGTTTTCAGTTGCCTAAAATAAAAAATAAAAAAACAACCCCACAGGGCATGAGATCTGCATGCTTAGTACTTTGTACTCTAGTTCAGTAGATCTACCTATGTTCTTAAAGTATTCTGTGGGCTAGCAAGGTATTTGAATAAAACAATTGTGAAATCTGGGGATAATACCTTCATTCTATTCATCTATAATTCTTACCACAAACACGACCAACAGAAGAGAGAGTTAATGCCCTTCTTCTCTTACAGAGATGTTTCCATTTTGGGGGAAGGTTTTTAAGAATTCCAACTCAGATAATTAAATAAAACAATGCAAGTCTGAAGCATTTGTACTGTTGTTTCTGTGAGATCCACATCATTCAGAAAAGCAGGACAGAGAGAATAATAGGATTGCCAGGATTAAAGGGGTGATACTTGGGATGTTTTAAAAAAATTAAAAAGTAACTTTCAATTTATTTTTTTTTAAAACATATCTCAACACATCTATACTTCTCCAACTCCTTCTGCAATCAGCTGCAGCTAAACCATCACAACCAACCTAGGAAACAGCCCTAGACCTCTGCCTGTAGAACTGCTGAGGTATATCTCCCACTGCATCGCAGATCACTACTAAATGCACTCCAGCACCTCAAAAGGCTTTATATATGTTCAACTTCCAAGCAACTATTTGCCTGCAATGGCAGAACTGCATTCCCTGCACTGTGTGGTTACACAGATGAATAGACGGTTTATTTGCATTACAGAAGGTGCCATAGGACTGAGTTTGATCAACAGGTCTAACTGGGATCTTGGTCCTTCCTACAAAAACAAGCTCACAGGTAGAAAAGAAAATCCAGGAAAAGCAGGCTGTTTGCAAGTTACTGTATTGTTCCACATTTCTGAAAACCTTGCAACCTCATGTCTAAGATCTAAGCCACAGACAGGAGGGAAAGTACTTTATTTAAAAGATGATAGAATCCGACAATTGTTAAGACAAACTGCTTCTAGACAAGTTTACAGATCAGCAATCGGTTTGTGGGGCCAGTATGGATATTTCTCCTTGTCCAGTCTGGTTTCAGGGAAGGCTTCATGCAAGTCTTCATATGTCATCTGTTCAAAGGGAATCATGCTTCTGAACTTCTGAAGCTTGAAGTGGGAGCAGAGACAAACACGTTATACGCCACTTGTCAGCAAGAAAGAGCAAAGCACACACAAGTAAGAACAAGGTGTGTGCCAGGCTGGGTTAAAGAGAATATTCACTAAGCAAAGTCCAGACTTACTTGTTGCTCATACTGGGCAATACGAGCTTTGGAAGCCTGCACATATTCGGCACTGCTCTTTGCCTGCAGGAAAGCAGAGGATGTGGTGAATATGGTTATGACAAAGACTGCAACCTAGAGTGAACCTGCAACCCCATGCTTTAAGTTGGCATTAAAATTCATCATCGTTACACTAGGTAAGCAGACAGAATGTTGATCAAAACCGAGCGTGCCAAACCCTTCCACATGCAGAGATCCTCTTGCTTAGCCAAAAGCCAGAGACACGTGCGAAGACCAGAGTCATGCTCTAGCTCAGGCTGCCCTTCCTGTGCAGGTGCACATACAGAACATCCCTTCCCTCTCACCCCTTCCCATCCTCACAGAAGCCAGAGACAACCCCGGCATTAAAGAACAGTTTAAAGACTTACAGCTTCCTGCTCTTGGGCATCAATTTTGGCAGTTTGTGTATCCACTGGCTCAGGAACCTTTAGTGCACTGAACTGTAAATCAAGAGAGAAATTTTTTTATGCTGTTTGTCTGATTGAAAAAATCCTTCACACCAGGGTCATTTTCCCTGGCAGCAGGGGAACATTCCCTCCTTTCTTCCTAGGACGTGCTCACAACCATGTAAGTTAACGAGCTTTCTAAAACTGACCGCTGCAGCTTGACTGTGTCCTTCACAAGAAGCACTGCTGACCTGAGTTTAAAGCCATCTATTCTGTACTTGCATACCACCACGAGGACATAAAACTACACACCTTCATCACAGCACTGTAAAGAGCACAGCATTGTAAGGAAGCAAGAAAATCTAATACCAAAGACTTATCATATCACAGACTTATTTCCTCCAAGACAAAGTTCCCAGATCCATCTGAGGTCAGTGGGTCCCCCCAGCCTTGGGAAGCTGACTGTATTGGGTCTGGCTGAGACGGAGTTAATTCTCCCCATAGCAGCCCTCGTAGTGCTGTGCTCTGCATCAGTAGCGAGAAAGGTGTCAACAACACACCAGTGTTTTGGCTACTGCTGAGCAGTGCTGGCACAGCATTGAGGCTGTCTCTCCAACATTTTTGCTCCCCCTCAATGGCAGGCTGGGGCTGGGCAAGATCTTGGGAGGGGACATAACCAGGACAGCTGACCTAAACTAACCAAACAGATATTCCATACCATATGACATCAGCTCAGATATAAAAACTAAGTAAAAGGAGACAAAAGGGGGGCATTTTTGTCTTCCGGAGCAACCGCTACGCGTACTGAAGCCCTGCTTCCCAGGAAGTGGCTAGACATTGCCTCCTGATGGGAAGCAGGCAATAACATAATTTGTTTTTTCTTTGCTTTTGCGCATGACCTTTGCTTTCACTTTATTAAACTGTCCTTATCTTGACCCATGAGCCTTTTGTTATATTTTCTCCCCCTGTCCAGCTGACGAGGGGGAGTGATAGAGCGGCTTTGGTGGGCACCTGGCGCCCAGCCAGGGTCAACCCACCACACCGACTTTCATAGTGACACCATGTGCCCTTCAGCAAAAGCCTCACTCATGCTTTTCAATTCCTGCTTATAAAGAGGATGGCAACCCCTGCAGGCATCCACTAGCTTTACACATTTCACAGTGTGCAGAGCCATGCCTGCCACCTTCTTCCATTCAGTGACTTAGAGAAATACTTTGAACGTTCGCTTCAGGAGAGGCACTACCTGAATACAATCCCGCAGCCAAAATAATTTATCAAGTTTTCTTTCACCCACTTTCTCACTGTACAGTGCCACAGGTTTCCTCCTGAAAGATGGCACTGAAGTGACCTCCTCGAGATCAGTGACGCTGATCTGCAGGATGTAAAGCTGGGGCACCTGCTAGCCAAAACCACCTCTGCCAATTCTGGTATTTTCCTCTCAACACCAAAGACATTCCCCATTTAAGCCTCACCCAACTGACATAGAGACTGACCTTCTTCTGAAACTCATCCACCATGCCAGCTTTAGCAACTGTAGCCTTGTAGTAAGCCCAGTCGATGGTCGGAGGTTTCTCTGGCAGGGCAGCCAACCTAAAGAGATGGAGGACAGCAGTCACGACCGGCGCTAGAAGTAACCTTGTGCTATCATTTGCTCTCTGCCACAGTTACTTTCCCGAGTGTCATCAACAGAGCCTGCTAAGTTTGGTTTAAGTATTTTCAGGTCCATCATTAACAAGGAGCGATGAACCATTTCTGCAAATCCCTCTGCCCTTGAAACAGACTTCTCTATACAGACTAGAAGAGTTCAGCCTGCAGCCCTGCTCCACTTCAGACTGCTATATAGTGCCTCTGAGTGCAGCCCTGTAAGAAAGGATTAGGCAGTTTTCACAATACTAAGCTAGAGGCAATCAGCGATATTAACTGCAGTAGCCAACCACATTCGTATCAAGCAGCAGATGCTGAATGATTTGAGAAGACTCATGAATTTGTACAGCATTTAACAGAATAACACAGCTTGCAAAATGTTTTGAGCATGCCAAAGCAAACTGCTTTCACAGAACTGCTTTTTTACATTGCAGCTATTGTTTTACTCTGGGGAGGATTAAGTAAACATGACTTGCAAAAAAAAGCCACTAGTTGTCTTGAAGGTGACCTGTTTTGACGCCTGCCGGGACACTCCTGCGAGACCACGGTTACCGACACTGGCTCAAGCCAGCACCGCAAAGGCTGAACGGTTCGGCTGAGGGATCGAACTGCCCCACACGCAGGAGCGGGACAGACACTCACCGTGCCGACAGCGCGTCGCTGCGGGTCTTCAGGGCGTTGAACATGGCCCTCTGGTTTGGAGGCACCCTCTCGGCGAAGGCCGCCCAGTCAATGGCCTTGATGGCAGCTCTGCGGCCCGCCATGCTTCCAGCCTGTGCCCAGGGGAGGGGATGACACCAGGCGGGTTACACTGGGGGGGGTGGAGGGGTTGGGGGGAGCGGGCAGGGCCCAGCAACCGCGGGGCTGGGGAGGACGGCTCCCCCGCGGGTAGGCCGGCACGGAGGGGTGCGGGCTGGCGCGGGAGGGGGCACACGGAGCCCCGCTCCTCGGCCCAGCCCC